TCTTTCGTTCCAGGCCGTGGTGTACTTAGTTCATTGATCTGAGATTTGTTCCTCCTGAAAAGTTCCATATGTAAGTGCAACCTTTGGCAGCAACTCACATGAAATATTTGCTCGAGACACGTCTAGATAAGCTTAAAACGTTCAGTTGTAAGCAAATTTACTTCTGAGTTTTAAAATGAATTGTTCTTTTATTTGTCAAATTCGAAAATAAGCAAGTTATTTCTAAAGTATAGTAAGAACTATTTTGAAATTAAGAAACCCTTTTTTATTTTTACTTTACTTGGAAAACATAAAAGTTATCCAAACATATTTGGAATCAAAAAGTTGAAAGTAACTTTGCTTTTTCATTTTATCATTTTTAAGCTTAGCCATTATATTTTCTCGCATCAATTATCTGTTCAGTGAATGAAGTCATGAATTGACCTGTAGAGTTCTGAGTTCTTATACAGTTCACTAAAATCAACCCCCAAAGCCATTTCCTGTGCCGAAGAAGTAACTTCCAACATCCAAGTTGCGGGATTGTGACCATTTTTTGTTTTGCTCACTCCTTCAATTCCCTTCATTGAACAGAAAATCCTGCTTTAGCAGTTTAACATAGAGAACTGGAAGAGCGTTTCTTGTTCTTTCTTTTACTTGCTACTCACCTCAAAATATTTGATCAGTTGGCTAGAATGAGGTCCCAATGGCCCGACATATAACTCCTGTCCTCCTTGTTTCATCAGAAATAGCTGCCAAAAGTATTAAGCACGAACCAATTAACAGAAAAATGGAAAATAAGTACCCCATTAGAGGTCATGTTTGGCTAAGCTTAAAAAAGTTATTTATTGCTTGGATTAAAAAAGATAAAGATGAAATTTTAACTTATTAAGCTTAGCCTAACTTGCGTAAAGATTTCCTTTGTCCGTCAACTCATTTTTTACCTCATCGAATGCTTCGAATATGTCAATGCTGGGTTGATGGATGGTGCATACAACTGTTCTTCCAGTGTCTACAGTGTTCCTGACCGTTCTCATTACAATTGCAGCAGCTCTTGCATCAAGCCCTGAAGTCGGTTCATCCATGAATATTATAGAGGGGTTTGCCACCAGCTCGACTGCAATAGTAAGCCGCTTCCGCTGCTCAGTTGAGAGACCGTTGACTCCTGGCAGTCCAACTAGTGCACCTCTTAATGGTGTAAGTTCAACAAGCTCCATGACTTCGGTGATGAACATCTGCAAATGTGAATCGTTTTTAAAATATTATTGCAGCATTGGTCCTCAACATATTGTCCAATTAGCAAGTCCCCAACCTTTAAGAAGGAGCAAGTCGTTCTGACTTCATCATGAAGCCCGATAAATAAACATAGAGGATTAGATCAATTTCATATCTGACATATTTAAAGAGGATAAATTGACAGATCATGTAAAGCTCTATTAAGCCTCGTTTCCCATTGATAACTAGGTTTTTTTAATGAATGGCTCTCAACTCTAGTTTTTAATCCAATAGACTATTCAATACAGGCAATCTAACCTTTCTAGTTTCAGCATTAATGTCTGAAGCCAACCGCAGCCATGCTGAGAAAAACAAGGATTCTTGAACTGTAACATGAGGAGAATGAATGTCATTCTGTTCACAGTATCCTGAAATCCGAGCAAAAGTTTCTTGCCTCTTTGGATACCCCGAAATTGTAATATTTCCCTCAACATAACCTCCAGTTTTCCTACCGGACAGCACATCCATAAGAGTTGTTTTACCAGCCCCACTAACACCCATTAAAGCCGTGAGAACACCTGGCCTAAAAGTTCCGCTTACTCTGTTAAGAAGCACCAATCTATCTTCAAGAATACCCTTATCTTTCATTTCCTGTAATACATATAATAAATGGTCTGACGCATTTAGACCATAGTTTCTCAACAAATAGTTTCCAACAAAAGACATGGATACGAAAAACCTAGGAAAATGCAACATAAAATATAGGATTACCTGTGGCATGTCAACAGAGTACACAATTTCATTGAAAGTAATGAAATGGGGTTCGAACGGAAGAATCATTCCCCTTCTCTCTTTTTGATTAGGCTCGATAATGGCAGCTGTCCTCATGGATGAGGATCCACACCCGATAGCTTTTCTACTTTGTTCTGCTAACCCTGAATGTATTTAAGTTTGTTTAGCAAAAAAAACCTTGATAACTGAGAAATATTTTTATACTTTTTTGGTAGAGAGGATTGGATAGTAATACTAGGTTGTATTGAAAAAGAAAAATAAGTTAAAATTTTATTCATAATAATGTTTAGTCTTGCGCACCATTACTGAGAACAGAAAAAAATGCGTTTAGTGGGAACTCCATTACCTTCAGATGCCACTGGTCCTACATCAATTCTTTGGGATACCATCTGAGTACTTTCTCTAATTCCAGCTTCTTTCTCATTGCATTGATTTTCATCAGGCAAAACAGCTTGAGACTTTCCAAAAGCTGTAGAATATGGAATTATGATAAATATTGAATGAATTCTGATCAAATTGTTGGTAGAAGGGGAATTAGAGACACTCACGCTTGAGAAAAGCAAGAGCCAGCATGAAACCGGAGTTGAACAAGATAGTGAATCCAAATAAAGCCCCAATTCCTATCCAATACCAGTATGCTTCGGTGAAGAATCCTCGGTAACTTAGAATAAAAACTCCTAATGTTTCGTTTGTATATGGGACAACCTTAGGAAGAAATCCGAAATCAGTTTCTTTTGACACATAAGGATGCTTGGAAATATGCCACAAATTTCTGAGATACAGACTTACATTTTTCCAGTTGTTCCCTAGAAATTCATTCACAACAATTGCATTCTGTGCATACGTCAACGGTGAAGACCAAAAACCCCATTTCCACCATTTCTTTATCTTGTCTGAGGAATCATCCAAAAGTTTGGAATTAAAAGAAATATCTCTATGTAAACCTTTTTCAATTCAAGAAATACTTGATTTGTGTTTTATACCTCGTGACAATACCGTACCACCCAGGGCAAAGAGTAGGAGCAAAGCAAATGATCCAAAGGTGTTTGCAACAACAAGGTTCCTACCTACTGCTGCAATCAGTCGGAACAATGCAGATGCCATCTGGTTTGTAAGCAAGATTACCAAGTATTGTTTGAATAATCTGCAAAAAAGATTCTTGATCAACAATCACTTGAAGAAAAGGGAAAAAAATAAAAATCAATACAAGGAATCTTAGCAAACGGCCATAGTAGTGTTTACCTCACAACATTGGGATCAAATCCAATAACATAGTAAGTGAGAGAAATCCATACAGCCGCTTCAACAAACGTTATAGGGATCTTGAGGATCCATGTGGGAAGCGCATATGCCCATGAGGGATAAAAAAGAAAGTCCCGTTGTTTGTAAAAGACTGGAAGCTTGTTAATTGTCATGGACATCTCTGGCATTCCATTAAACATGAATATAGTGAGAGTTAAAAAAAGAACACCAATGTAGATTACTCCATCTTGCATGTTGTCCTGGTGCATCGTAGTTCGTAGGAACAGTGTCAATGCTATAGATGCCATTATAATAATCTGAAAAAATCAGAAAATAAAGAAATGACAAATATATTCAACACAACACGTATTTGCAGAATATAGTCTCAATTTATCCATCCTATTAGCAGACTCTGGGCTGAATTACGCACCTGGCAAAGCTTGAACAAGTAGTAAAATGAGTTTCTTTTCATTAGCAAGAGTTCTCTTGAGATGCATGCTTTCACAAATTCTTTCATTCCCACACCATACTTTCTTCTTGTTAAGGCAGCTGGGTGACTATTGCTTTTGTCAAATGCATATGCAAGATTATCTCTCAGACTCTGCCCAACATGGAATGACTGAAATGCCTTCACAAATTCACTGACAGTCACAAATCTGTAAGGCTCCTCTATACTCGACCAGTATTGCCATTGATCTTTCTTTGATGTCACCTGCATCAAAGTTAATATTTCCTCGTGTGTTAAGAACTACTAAGTGAATATGGTTGGGGCCAAGAAGCACCGGAAGGAATAGGAAAATTGGGTGACAATAATTAAAAATCAAATAATTATTGAAGATTATCTCATAGAATATGCAAAATGTAGAATCTGGATAATATTAGGGACATCGCAACAGTCTTTCCATATCTCTAACAGTAACTATCTTGATATGGACCTTATTATCATTGATTACCTACTTCTTGCAAGAAATCGGCCACCCCTTTCCTCTTTGGGCATTTGAAACCCATGGATTCAAAAAAATCGAGCACGTATTCTCTGGGGCCCTGATAAACAATTTGGCCATCAGATAACAGAACTATATCATCAAATAGTTCATATATTTCAGGTGCCGGCTGTAGGAGTGATATAATAGCAGTTCCTTTGAGAATATGGACATATTTTCTAAGCGAATCTACAATTTGGAATGTTGTGGAACTGTCCAATCCAGTGGATATTTCATCCATAAAAAGTGCATTTGCTGGCCCAACCAGCATTTCACCTGTGATTTATTTAATTAAATTAATGTTAAAATCTAGTATAAAATCATTCAATAAATCATCAAAAATGAAGTTTTCTGTATACCTGTAGTAACGCGTTTCTTTTGCCCTCCAGATACTCCCCTTATCAGTTCATCTCCAATCAAGGTATCTGCACAAGTTTCCAGGCCTAATATCTGAAAAGAAATTAACAGGATCATTAGTTTGTCCAATTTTATATTATTTTACATGAAATGGAAAAGATTCAGTGCTTGTACCTTGAGAATATAATCTGTGACTATACTCCATTCTTGTCCTTCAGCTGCTGCAGCCTACAGTTTAGTATTCTTCAGATTAAAGAAAAAACGAAAAATACTACACAATTACTAGATTATAAAATGCATTATTTGGTTGGTGCATTGTACTAAACAAGACTGACTAATTTAATAGACAAACATTTAGTTTACGTTTTTCCTTAATATTGTTGATTATTTTACATTTCACCTTACAAACAAACCTTAAAATGTCTTGGGAGGTATTTTAATCAGATTATCTAAGCAAATCAAATAGACTTACAATAATTTGGATTGAAGAATCATTTTAAGTTCGAAAGTGACACTATTTGGAGTACAAATTCATGCCAGGATGATGGACAATGTAGGGACGCAATCCCAAATTAATTGGCTGGTAAGTCAACAAGGATACCAAAGGCTTCTGAAATCTTTCACATAACCTTCAAAGTTTATGTTGCAAAATTTGGAAGAATTTATATAATTTATACTTATACCTTCAATTTTTATTTTTTTTATTTTTTCCCAATTATCCGACACAGAATTTTCTTAGTTAGATGGAAGTAAAGAGGTACCTTGTTGAAGAATCAGTTCATCCACAAGTTTAAATTGTTTGAGGGATAAACTAAACTATTTATAGTTTCTTTAAAGCTTCTAGTAAATATAGCAATGGACCGAATAGAGTAGGGAAAAAAGATACACATAGCCAACACTATTTTATTGGTAACAAAAGCTTATAGCTTGTTTGGCTAAGCTTAACAGTTTAAACTTAACAAGAAAATAAATGAGTTTTAAAGCAACATTTTTGTAGAGGTGAAAGAAAGTTACTAATTTTGATAGTAAGAGTCACATTAAAGAAAAGTAAATTTTATTACTTGAAATAAAGAAAAAAAGGCAGTTATTCAAACATGTTTCAAGATAAAAAATATATATATATTTAAAAGCAACTTTTATATTTTTTGTTTAGG